CTAATTGCTCTGGCTAAAACTTCCAGTACTGTGTTGAATAAATGTGGTGAGCACCTTTGTCTTATTCCTGATCTTAGAGGAAAAGCTTTCAGTTTTTCACCGTTGTGTATGATATTAGCTGTGAGTTTGTCATATATGGTCTTTATTATGGTGAGGTATATTCCTTACATACCCAAATTTTTGAGAGCTTTGGTCATGAAAGAGGTTAAATTTTCTCAAATGTTTTTTCTGAATCTATTGAAAGGATCATAATGGTTTTTATTATTTATTAATATTAATGTGGTTTATCATGCATATGTTGGACCATCATTGCATCCTAGGATAAATCCAACTTGATCATGTATATGATTCTTTTAATGTGCTGTTGAATTCAGTTTGATAGTATTTTGTTGAGAATTTTTGCATCTGTATTTATCACGGATATTGGCCTGTAGTTTTCACTCATTTAGTGCCCTTATCTAGCTTTAGTAACACGGTAATGATAGCCTCATAAATAAGTTTGGGGTTTTCCCTCCTCTTTCATTTTTTGGAAGAGCTTGAAAAGGATTGGCATAAATTATTTTTTAAGTTTTTGGTAGAAGTCACCAGTGAGGCCATCTGGTCCTAGGCTTTCTTTGTTGGGAGGTTTTTTGATTATTGCTTCAATTATCTTAGTCGTTTGTTACGGGTCTGTTCATATTTTCTATTTCTTCATGATTCAGTCTTGGTAAGTTGTATGTTTCTAGGAATTTATTCATTTCATCTATACTATCCAACTTGCTAGCATTAGTTCATAATAGTCTCTTATGATCCTTTGCATTTCTGGCATGTCATTTGTAATGTCTCCTCTTTCATTTATAATTTGAGTCCTCTTTTTTTTTCTAGATTAGTCTAGCTAGAGTATTTCAATTTTGTTTATCTTTTCAAAAAACCAACTCAGTTTCATTTTATTTTTGGCTTTTTTTCTTGTCTCTGTATCATTTATTTCTGCTCTAATCTTTATTATGTCCTTCGTTCTNTTGTCCTTGCTCTTATCTAAGCTCAACTCTTCCACTTGTCCTCTTTCCTCTGAAACTCATCCCCTACTGTCAACTTAAGAACTTTGCTTCAGCAGTAATCTACCCTGTCTCTCACATCATGGATTTTTCAGTCTCCCCTCAATCATTTATTTCAGCATACAAACATATATACCAATGCCAATCCTAAGAAAAATTCTTTGAACTTCTGTTCCCATCCAGTATTGTGTCATTTTCTGCTTCCCTTTACAACGAAATGCCTAGTGAGATTTATCTGTGCTTACTTTCTTTATCTTTCATTCTTCAATTTGTTCTACTAAAACCTGTTCTTGTCAGAGTCAACAAGCACTGCCATCTTAGCAAATTCACTGTTTGACTTGTTATCCCATTTGAAACAGTTAAGTGCTTTATTCTCCCCTGCAGCTTTATGGAGATATAATTGACATAAACATTGTGTAAGTTTAAATGGCATGATTTAATGCACATATTGCGAAATGATTGCATATTAAGGTTAATGAATACATCCGTCACCTCACATAATTAAATATTTTTTTTTGGTGAGAACTGTTAAGATTTACTTAGTAACTTTCAAATGTTTAATACAGTATCATTAACTGTATATTATATAGTTAATAGTCACCATACTGTATATTAGAGCCACAGAACTTATAACTTACTTGTCTTATAAGGTCCATCCATATTGTCACAAGTAGCAGGATTTCCTTCTTTTTATGGCTGTTAATAAATAATCTGTGTGTGTGTGTATAAAGCCACATTTTCTTGTATTCATTTGTTGGACCCTTAGAAGTTTCCATATGTTGGCTATTGTGAATAATGCTACAATGAACATGAGGTGTGGATATCTCTTCAAGATAGTAACTTTTTTTCCTTTGGATATATATATAGAAGTGGTGATTACTGTATCATATGGTGGTTCTATTTTTAATTTTTTGTGAACCTCCATACTGTTTTCTATTACGG